TGGAGCAGTGATGGGTGCAGGACTGACGTGGAAGAACATGGAAGGATCGAGGCCAGTAATAGCACCGCTGTCCACGCAGGACACAGAAAGGAAGGCTTGGGCCATCTTGGTGGCAGCTTCCCTTCTCCTGCCCCCTGACTGACTTGCTTCTTTCCCTCCTGTTTATCTCCTTTTCTTATCTTTTCCTCTCTCCCAATAATTCCAGCCTCCACTTCCTGCCAAACTTATAGACAGTGACTGACATTGGGGTGGGGTGCCCTTACTCCTGTGGGTGCCAGTTCCCATGGGATAGAGCACAAACATGGGTGATAAGATGGGGTTTCCCTAAGTCCCTTCATTCCTTCCTCACATCAGGAATAAGGCCTCATGCTGCAAGCTGGCCCTTTTGCCCCTCCTCCCCGACCCCCAGCCTCCAGGGACCCAGGTACCATGGAAGCAGCTCAAGGTCCTTCCCAAGGGCTTTCACCCTCTACCCACATTGCTGTCTTTCTGCTTTTTGCTGTTAGTTCCAAATGAAAGATACAAACACATGAGCAGCCACATACTAGAAAGAGCTGGTAGTCAGGAGTGGTGTCTGGCCCCTCCCCGGAGTGCACCTCTTCTTACCAGTCAACTCTCACTCCCTGGCAACTTACAGAACTTACCACGCCCCACAAAGTCACCTTCTCTTTCTCTTACTCTTCATCCTTCGTCTCTCGTCCTCGTGGTTTTTCCCTTTCACTTCCCCGTAGGTCCTTCAAAGCCTGGATCAACTTCATAGAGTCAAGTTGGTTTCGGGTCAGCATTAAACGGTGCTAACCCGAGTGCGCAGAATTCATCCGGGTGAAAGATTCCTTCTTGCTGGTGCTCCCACTGTCTCCGGCCCACCGGTCTGCCTGCTCCTGGGACTCATTCACGGACTCTCTCTAGTCCCTCATCATATCCAGGAGCCTCGCTACTCCAAGCAAAATGTTGTCTCTTCCCACATGCACTCCTGCTTTTTCTGCCACAGCCCCAGGCCTTTGGAATCCCTGGTATCAGTGTGCTTGGGCTGTCCTGGCAAAGCATCACAGGTTTCACAGGTCTGGAGGCTGGAAGCCTGAAATCCAGGTGTCAGCACGTTGCTCCTCCTGAGGCCTCTCTCCTTGGCTTGCACTTGGCTGTCTTCTCCCCGTGTCCTCACATGGCTTTCCCTCTGTGTGCCTGTGTCCTAACCTCCTCCTCTTATAAGGACGCCAATCAGATTGGATCACGGCCCATCCTGATGACCTTATTTTAACCTTCGTTACCTCTCAAAAGGTCCAATCTCCAAATACAGTTATATTCTGAGGCAGGAGGTGTTAGGATAACAACATAAAATTTGGGGAGTTGGAGAGTCACAATTCAGACCATAACAATTTCCTTCCCACTCTCCTTTTAGCTCATAAAAATGTATCCACAATTCCTTTTCCAGGTCAGATGTTTAAATTCAGTGCTTCCTGAATCATGTCTCCAAAGAGCCACAGCAATTGTCTGTAAAATGCAACTAGCACCCAGTGGTGCATTTTGCTGTGATCTTCCTGTCGTTTTTAAAAATCTATAGTTTCTCCCTTTAAAATGTACTTTATACTGTAGCTACATAGGGTCTATCTTCTCAACTAGATTAAAACTCGGGAGGGCAGAAACAGTCATAATGTTTTGTATGATCATAGCAATCCTCAGCACCTGGGTGGTCATATCTGAGACCCAGGACCTTCAGCGCAGGCAAAAAGACAGGGGACAAAGAGGGATAAGATCCAAGCACTAGCTACAGGAAGGGGCTGGGAGAGTAGGTCCATGGGAGTTGGAAATACCAGGTGACCCACCAGGAAGGCTCAGGTAGATAACACCGGACTTCTTAAAAGTCACAGTGAGATTCTCATCAGGGGTGCAGAGCACAGCAGTAGGGAATCTCTTGTTAGTGCCATCTAGAGTCAGGCGGGTGTGGGATCTCACAGGAGACATCTACACCCAGGAAAACAGAATTCCATCACTGAATGAGACAAACCCTATCCCATGAGAGCCAGGCGAGACAGAGCAAAATGGGATCAGTAACCAATGTCAGAACCTAGGCCTGGGAGATAGATGGGAGGCTGTGATCACCACAAGTCCACAATCTGGTGATGGGTGAGTGGTCTAGAGCCGTGGTCGGCAAACTGCAGCTCGCGAGCCACATGCAGCTCTTTGGCCCCTTGAGTGTGGCTCTTCCACAAAATACCGTGGCCTGGGCGAGTCTAGTTTGAAGAAGTGGTGTTAGAAGAAATTTAAGTTTAACAATTTGGCTCTCAAAAAAAATCGTTGTACTATTGATATTTGGCTCTGTTGACTAATGAGTTTGCCGACCACTGGTCTAGAGTAAGATGGTACATCAGCTTCAGTCCAACCCAGAAATTAAAAGAAATCGTGTGACAAGGCAGGGCCTACAAAAGTATTAAGTGTATTGAGGCCAAAGCCATCCAAAAACAGGTTTGAATGAGTGTAGCAATGGTTTATTGATTTATAAATAAATAAATAAATAAATAAATAATGCATACACACACACACACACACACACACACACACACACACACACACACAACAAAAGTTGCCTTTCTTTCTCACTCTGGTCCTTTTGCTAAACCCAGTATTACCTTTCATAATGAAAAGATTTCAGCTCGGCAGCTTGGCTAATTAATGTCTCAAGGGTTGGGAGGCCTTGGCTTGGCCCATTGATCAAACGCTGACCATCAGATTGAATGCTTCTCATCCAGTGCCGCTCCCACCCAGGCCCTGTGTCAGAGCCGAGGGACTGTCAAAGTAAAGAGCAGAGAAAGAGGGAGCATTGACAGATGGGGAGGTGAGTGAGCAGCTTTAATCAAAAGCGAAAATGTCCAAATCTAGTTTGCTAAGTAACAAGACTATTAAAAAATAACCCATAAAGTACTTTACAGAGCAAACAAGCAAGTATGATAAGTATTTAAATAACAACTTATTGTTAGCTTTCTACCTACATTTTTAAAGAAGGTAAACATTTATTAGGGAGCAATTACATTTTAAAAAATGGGGTCCCATGCTTGCTTTTGTCATTAGACGCCCTGCCTCTCCCTTCTGAGCATCCCATTAAACCCTGTCACCTGAACTTCAGCACGTGAGTGCTGACATTCTGCAACAGAAATTTTGTTCCAGCTTTTCAAGCCTGAATCCAAACACATGCTAAATGCATCAGAGGTGCAGAAAGGACAATGGCTCATTTTTGTCTATGGGGAATAAAGTCCCCAAAGCCCACTCTCCAGTATTGCCACACCTCTTTCACCCAATGTGGCAGGGGAGGAAGCAGCGCGCTCCGGACAATGCCCTGTAATGAGGGGTCAAGTCCAAAAAGGGGAAATGACAGTGTTGGAGCATCTACTGTGTGCCAAGCCCTTTGCACATTTTATAGGGGGAAATGGGAGATTGTACAGTCACGTTACAAAGGAAAGACTTGCACAGGGAACCCATACAGTGATATCAGTATGAGAAGAAGGAAGACAGGAACATCTGGAGGGAGTTAAGGGGAAAGTTGAGCCTTTGGCGTACCTAGTCTGGGAGTTCACCTGTACTGATCACCTGGCCTGCTGACCCCTTGGCCTGACCTTAACCAGCTCCACCCAGAGCCAGTGAGCAGAAGGGAACGTGAGAGATCTTGTACATGGTGCTGTGGGAAGAGCAGTGGCCTAGAAGCCACATGGCCTGGGCCTCATTTCAGCCCCATCTTTGTGCCTAACTAAGTGACCCGGACAAGTCACCTGACTTCTCTTGGCCCCACTTTTCTCACCTTTGAAATACGGTAGGCAAATGTAAGGGGGTAAAACATATGTAATCATAGCAGACCTCAATCTGCATTATAAGTCAAACATTATTCTAAATGAATTACCTTTGAGGTATCTTAAAGCGCTGAAAATTCCATATACAGGAACGACAGAATAAGTCTGTTTGTTTCCTTTGTTCATTTTTCTAGTTCAGGCTGACAAATTTCCAAAAGTTGGTCAAGACACAAATTACTTTTTCATTAGAAAGGAATTACTAAATGGATGTTGTGCCATTGCTTGGATGCTGTTATTTTTAAATTTGGGGTGCTAGGCACCAAATTTTAATTCTCAGTTATTCCTTTCTTCCCTCCCCCAACTCTGCTATTTTCTTTGGGTGGCAAATATCTCTGCCTGAACATTTGTTTTAATTCTTAAAAATCAAACTCACTGTGATACTTAGAAGCTTTCCACCGAGCTCTCTCTCTCTCATAGAGCCCAGAACAAGGGTTCCCAGTGGTGGTAGTGGTTGACTTGACTACTCACTTGGCATAGGAAGTATTTTGTTATCATGGTTGTCCTATAAAAGATTCTGCATAAAGGTGTGTGTGTGTGTGTGTGTGTGTGTGTGTGTGTGTGTGTGTGTGTGTAGAAAAGTAATTCTGACCATTGAAAAACACGAGAGCATCTGAAACAAAGCTTGGGTCTAAAATCATCTCAGGAAGTAGGCCTGGGTAACTGTAGAAGTCAGAGTTTACAAGCTAAAGCAGCAAATTCCTAGTCATGACCCATTGGCAGTTTTAATTTTAGCTGCAATTGAAACCCACAAAATGAGAGCACCCACTTCCAGTCTCAGCTCTAGTTTCTAGTGCTGTCGGTGAGAGCCCCAACATTTCGGTGTATCCCTTGAAATGACCTCCAGGACTCTTCTGGGCTGGTGGCTTGATAGGAAAGCCCATTATGTGAGCTCTGCCCACCAGGACTCAGTCTGCCTTAGGCTGTCAGCCATACAGGGATCTGCCAAATGGTCTCTTGTGACTCAGAATCTCAAACTTGTTTTAAGTGGAGGGGGAAAGTTACTTTCAGGGATGGGGTTCTTGGCCCAACCCTGCTTTGTATAAACACAGCCTATGTCTATTTCAGTCTTCTGGGTTTTGAGAAGCAACTGCTGAGTTGTGGCAAAGGGTGAACTGGTTGGTGTTGGCTCAAATTAAAACAAAGAGTTTTCCTTTCTTGCAGCGCTGGAAGAAGGGAGACGGCATCATCGCCTAGGGAACATAATGTGACTGGCCTGGCAATCAGGGAAGTGAGTGTGGGCCTCGATTTGCAAAGAACCAGCTCTACCAAAGTCTAAACTTGTAGAAATGGAGACATTGTGCTTGGAGTAAGGATTTTTAATCTACAGAAGGATAACATTTGGGTCATGTTGATGCATGATGCTGTGTATATGAAAACTATTGATGTGATTCATTATAGGTCATTCTGCCTTGATTTTTAAGAGACAGACAACCATTACATGAAGCCTGGTGTATGCCCACGGGTGCTGTCCTTACCACCCATCAAGGGGGGGTGTCCAGCCCAGCCCCTTTCCTGCTACCCACTGTCAGGAGCCTATACGTCCATGTGGATGTACTTGTTTATCAAGCAATTTATCTAAGACACAGATCTAACATATTACTATTGTCAATGCTGGGACAATGGTGATTTAAGGAGTAACTGTGAATACAAATTATTTTGAGAGTCAGCTCCCCCCAATTGCATCTTTTGTGTCCCTCAAGTACTAGCATATTCACAGAAGTTAAAAAAAATCATGCTGCAAAACAAAATCACCTTCTGCCAAGGGAAGCCACCATCACACATAGCGGGTCTTTCACTCATTTATCCATCTGTGTGATCAGTCAGGGCCCCTGGCACGGGTCCCGAGAGTGGAGGACAATGGTGGACACAATATCTTCATGACCAAGGCTCCTGTGGTCTGTAGAGAATGCAGACAAATCAATCATTACAGCAGAGAATGGGATGTGTGTCCTGTTTGAGTTTGGCGGAAGGCACCCACCAGCCTTGGAGTTAGCCTTTGCAAAAATGGTGACCTCTGAGCTGGATCCTGGAGGACAGAGTGGAGTGGACAGAAATAGCTGTTCCAATCAAGGAAGGAGTGACCCTCGGGCATGTGTTAGTTTTGCTTCTTCCTCCTCCTCCATTCTGTTAGGGCACGTGGAAATCAGTCTTGCTTAACGTGATGGCCACTTGGCTTTGCAAACCTCATCCCTCAAGTTCCCTTCAGACCAACCACACCTGCTTTCCTCTTCATTCTTTTGTCTTGTTTTATTTTGTTTTGTTTTATTGTATTGTGTTTTTGTTTTGTTTTGATTTGTTTTGTTTTCCAATGAAGAATCAAGGATGAGCCAATAAATATAAGTCCAGGGATTTTCCTGATAAAGCTCCCATGTTCAGCTTGGCTGAACACAGAAATGTCTATTTCTTTCTCATCGGGCAAAAAACATTTGCTTCAACAAAAAATGGCTGACTCATAAGAACAAACAAATGTTTTCGAAGTCTTAATACTCAAATCTTGTGTGATACCATTGAACGTTTTTAAAAATTGAGAAATTGTTTTTACCGAGAAAACATTGTACAGTAAGCTTTAAAAATAAATAAGCAAATAAGATGAGGGGGAAGGGAAGTCTTGAGGCCTCTGAAGTCTTGAGACTAAAAGACACAGAATATTTAACGAATAAGACAAAGGCCATTCCTGAAAAAAAGTCAAGAGATCCAGTTTGGAAGTCAGGGTGGGGGGGAGAGAAAGAGAGAGAGAGAGAGAGAGAGAGAGAGAGAGAGAGAGAGAGAGAGAGAGAGAGAGAGAGAGAGAGAATTTTTTCTACAAAAAAATCTAGAAAGTAATTGGATCATTCCAGTACCCCAATGGCTAGCTGGCACATCGTCCATCCCTGAAGGGTCAGAATCTTTGCTGTTAGGATGCAGTATGAGCAAAGGCTGCCTGGGAGTTTATCACAGCTCTGGTGCAGCAGAGGGAGAAACAGAAACAAAAGTGAGGACCTTGGTGTTGCTCCTTATATTATACAGCAATCAACCAGGAGTTAGGAAGGATGTGGCTTGCTGGGGCTAATAAAAACAAATTTGGAAGCTTATTTGGTCTTTGGAATTAAAACCGTATTTTAGTAAATACAGCTGATGCCATTTGAACAAAAACCCTGTGACATTGCCTGGCTTACTGCAGCTTTTCTGTTTGTCTCTCCATTAGATCTGTTCAAAATAGGAACATGGCATTTCCACGTTTGCAGAAAAGCAAATGTGAGCTGACTGGCCAAGTTTAGCTGTTATGGTTTTCCTAGAACCCTTACGATTGCTGTGACAAATAAGATCCTTGTAACAGACAATTTCTAACTATACCGTGTTTGTGATCTATGCCCTCCTCCAGGTTCTGGTACTTGGTCAGTTGAGTTGATCTTACCCCTGTTCCCTCCATGTTACAGAGCTTAACTGTATCATGCTGAGAGTTTGGTATGTGCTCCATGCTGAAAGAAGAATATTCTCCTGTGTCAGATAAATATTTTCATGTGTGAGAATTGCTATACTTGAATTTGCTGCAGCATTTTGCATTGACGCATATATATGACATCCAGGCTGACTCAATGGCTTCTAAAACATTTAATGTCTCTTACATGGACTCAATATCCTTGGAATGTGCTGTTTAAACATTTCTGAATTTTCTACATGCCATTTTTACAGGTCCATTTGTTTATGATGTGATGTGGTAAAGAATCAATCACTTTCGTTGTGTGTGTGTGTCTGAAGAAAATAAATGTATATATTACTAAGAAGAAGAATAAATTATTGAAAAATATACTTGATGGATCATGCAGCCCACTGTTAAAAAGGAATTTATTTTATTTCTTTAAAAAAAGTGATTGTTCAAATTATAAGCATTTATATTGTCCTTCTAAATATGGATGCCGTAATATTTAAGTGTTGTTCAATCTTGATGTATGTTCAACATTGATGTATGTTCAACATTGATGTATGTTCTCTAATAAAATATTTTAAACCTCTTTCTTTAAACACATATTGCCCAGTTCTTTAATCACAATCTATTGTTAATATATGTCTATTAAAAGTAGAGTGGCAGCTAAATGGGGTAGGTTGTACATAAGATATTCAAGTTGGCAGCATTCAGGTTTCAGGTAAGAGCCAAAATACAACTGCATTGTCAGGTTTAGAGTCAGGAGACAGTGATAATGGAACTCAAGCACACAAAAATGATGAATGTGTTCAAGGCTAAATTAAGTGACTCAGAACCAAAGCAATAGGTTAGGGCAGTGGTCGGCAAACTCATTAGTCAACAGAGCCAAATATCAACAGTACAATGATTGAAATTTCTTTTGAGAGCTGAAAACTGACTTCTGTGCATGGGCCACGAAGTTTCAATCACACCGTATGTGTGTGCCCACACGTAGTATTTTGTGAAAGAGCCATACTAAAGGGGCCAAAGAGCCGCATGTGGCTTGCGAGCCAGTTTGCTGACCACTGAGTTAGGGGAACTAGTGGCCAGAGAAGGCAACACAGTTCAAGGGGAGTTTTTCTAAGAAGATTCTGGTCTGATCGTGGTCTCAGCCTGGAAGCCCCAGCACCACCCCTTTAGCATATTCCCTCAATGGGACTTTTTGGAAGTGTGGTGTCATCACTGGGGACAAGACCACTGGCGTCAAATTGTCACACATTCCAAATTCTCTCAATCATTCACCACCGAGGTGATCTCAACACAGAGATTCCAGACTCCTAAAGTTTAGCTCTTCTAAAAAATAAGGACATTAACTGTACGTCATTAAAAGAGTTGCTGAGATAATAAAATGAAACAAAGCATGTAAAGTGTTTTAAAAAGTGCCTGATTTCTAGTTAGCACTCAGCAATTACAGGTTGTTCATTCTCTTATTGATCTTGCTGGTTTGGTTGTGACTGTCATTTTAGGTACTCCCAAAGATAGTGATGAAGCCCTTAGTATTCTAAGTCAAATAATAGCATCACATCTATACTGATTTGGGTTTTGACAAATGATGTCATGTCCTATATGTTCTCTAATAAAATAGAGTGCTCAGCTAGTCATAATCCAGGATCCCCATGGAGTGGCAGGCAGACGGAGGATGGAGGGAATCCTAAGATACACAGAAGTTTGTAATTGTCCAGCCTTTGTTTTCATGGAGCTTGAAAGTGATAAACCTAATTTTTAGACTAATATTATTGGTTTATCTGATGAACTCTCATTTTAATGCATTTTTTTCTTCAGGTTAGAGACTTTGAAAGAGAGAAAAAGTGGATATATTGTTAATGCTAACACTCATTGGTTCCTATGAAGGTACAAAAATTATTTAAAATATGGTCATAATGATGTTAGGGCCACATCCCTGCTGTGCATTCTACTGTGAGTAATGCTGTGGAAACCCCCGTTTTAACTGGTTCAATTGCATCACCTAATTTAATCTTCACCATCCTATAAGTGCTAAGAATCAAATTAGGGTGCATTTGGCTGGAAGCAACAGAACGCCCATTCAAAAGTGGATTACATAGACAATTTGTAACACTATCCTATATAATAAAAGGCTAATATGCAAATAGACTGAATGGCGGAACAACCAGAACAACCAAACTATGATGTGCGCTGACCACCGGGGGCTTGTGTGGAACATGGCAGGTGTCGGCCATAGCAGGATGATAGAGCAGATGAGTGGGGGCATCAGACCAAGGTGGGGTGCTAGTCACTGTCATCGGGGCAAACCTTTGGTGGTTACTGAAAATTGTTTGCACCAGAGCTGCTTCTTGCACCCACGCTGGTGCCCACGCTGGTGCACCCAGCAGGTGCAAGTGGCTGCTGCCGGTCCTGATTGCACCCTAGGGCTTCTCCACCACCCCCTGCTCCTGAGGGGCAATCAGGACCAGCAGCCACAGCTCACACCTGCTGATGGCACTGGCCCCACTTACACCCACCGCTGGTGCCAGCTCTAATTGCTCTGCACTGTCAGCAGGTGTGAGCGGGGCTGGCACTGTCAACGCATGGGAGCAGTGGGAGTGGGGCTTCCAGCAGAGAGGGGACTGGGGGCTGTGGCAGGAGGGGCAGGGCAGGGATGTGTAGGATGGTCCAAGACCCAGCCCCCTGTGCCTATTGTAGCCTCGTGGCCCACAGTTCCTTTCAAGGTGCATGAATTCATGCACTGGGCCCCTCGTTATCAATATTTTGACATGAAAACCTTTATTTTTGC